AAAAAAAAAAACAGTCTGTGAAAAAGAGACTCACGGCAAGAACATCTAAAGTGATATCCAGATCCTTGAGTTTCTGCAAGATTTTTAGAACCTGGAAAGAGTGACAAGCATATTATCCCCACTGCCTGCAGCCATGCTATGGTGCATTTCATAATGTTCAAGCATTTTTGTCAACATAAAGGTGATTCGATTGATTGTTTTTGGTTAAAAAGTACCTAGAATGGGATCTCTGTCGAAGATAAACTGACTTGCCAAATATGGCAGTCCTGGTTTTGGATTTCCACAGTAGCTGACTGTGCATTTTAGAGCAGAACCTATGTATGGGGACCTTACACACCCACTTAGACTGCTCCTTTTACCCTGAACTATAAATGGATATAGCCGTGGCTGCCTGATAGGAGGTGGTGGTAGTAGTAGTAGTAGTAGTAGTAGCAGCAGCAGCTTATGTCTTTAAAGCTAAATTGGTCATTTACAGATTTTGCGTGTAAATTCCTCAACTGAAAATTAATCCACGGGATACAAAGACGATATGTGTAGGCTTATACTGCACAGGCATAGGTGGTTAAAGTTGCCTGCAGTGCACTGATGATGGACAGCAGCCATAAGCTGAACAACTGCAGGAGCTGCCATTTTTAGCAGCAGCCAGCCAAGTTTAAATAGCCTGACCCTCCACCCCCCGCGCGCGCACACACACACACTCCAAATCAAAGGATTTTCAGTGCTGTGTGAAAGCGGCAGAGAAACACTGCCAGCTCAGCTTCTGTTCACACATATACTAATACAAAATATATAGATACAAAAACAAAAATCTAATTGAGCTTCATAATTTTCATTAAGGGAACAAAGTCATTTTTTAAATAGCGACTGATGTGGCAGCAGGTGTTGTGAGCCAATGATTAGACAAAGCCATGACTAAAGCAGGTGGGATTTGTTCAGCTGGTAATGAAACAGCGGTGAAATAATTCTTCAAAACTTTCCGTTTTTTTTGGGATTATAAAAACGTTTTAAACCGTTTAAATCAAACGATAACTACCGTAGCGGGATCTGCTTTGTCTGAGAGCTGACGTTTGAGCTTCATGATTTTCTTCACCACATCAGAGCTGTTGGCCATCACGGTGACTCACGTGAAGCCGTCTACACACAGCGGGCAGCGCGCGCTCGTTGATGACACTATTATAGTAATGGGCGGAACCAGTGACAAATGATATAATGGTATGTGAGGTGTGGCTTTTAAAATGATGCCACTAATGCCGGATCATCTTAAGCCTATTGTTTAAAGAGCTGCTTCTTAAAGCATTTACTGGGAGGGTGGGTCCTATAATTACAACAATTTATAATAAATACGTGTATATGAACCGGTAACATATAGTGCTTCTTGAGAATATTATTGCTATGGGACCTTTTACTGTGTGGGTCTTACAATCAGACGTGCCCACGGGCTATCGTGGAGATTTGGTACTGACTGAATTAAATTAAAATTGACTTAACTCAGTTTTGGTTATTTGCAGGCGTCCATCTGGAGGCTGTTGGCCTTTTGAACACACGTGTAAGGCCAATAAAATGGATATAGCACCCTTCAAATCAGCAAACAGCAATAAGCCATGCTGGTGTGATTTAAAAAAGTGAAGGTTTTGTATCTATAAGCAGGTTAGTTTTGAAAAAATAATTTATTTGATTCAGAACAATTCAATTCAAGTCAGTTTTATTCATATAATGCCAAATCACAACAATCCCCTCAAGTCACTTTATACTGTAAAGTTAAGACCTGACAATAGAGAGAAAGTCCCCACAATTATATGCTGATGTATACTGATATACTGATACTATATATTATTATTATTATTATTTATTTTTATTTATTTATTTTATTATTATTAATAATAATAATAATAATAATAACAACAATAATAATAATAATAATGATGATGATGATGATAATAATACTAATAATAAAATATGTCACCTTTATGCTTTCTCAAGCTGCAGAATTCACCTTTATTCAACATCTCCTCAGACTTCTGCTGTCTCTGTCTCTAGCTGCAGCCTTTTAGCATGCAGATCATTAAATGTGCTGCACTGGGACACTAATTGCTATATTTTACATTTTACATTGAAACATCATTTTAATGTAAGCTGGCTGTATTTTAGGAGTACATAAATATTCTGTAAAACAAAAAAAAAATATTACATTAAAAAAAGGTGTAAAACAAATGACAGTATGGTCACTGTGAATTTTGCAATTACATTTTTAACGTTGCTTAAATGTTGCACGTGCCTCTCTATAATTAAACCTTTATTTGGCAGTGACATCGTGTCTGCAAATGAATATTTACTTTTAATAGTTTTATTGTAAAAAGGTACAAAGTTGTTTGCACTAATCACGTGACACATGGCATCCCACTGAGGATACACAGCCACCTGGCAGTATGTTGTCATCAGATGATTACAGGCTATTGTGGAACACTTTCACGTTGAGGGTCTTCTGCCACTGGTATTGCACAATACTTGATTGGAACCCACTCCCCTGGAGGAGGAGTTTACTGCATATCCCTTTCCACGGGGGTGACGGCTGGTCTCTCTCCTGCTCCAGTAACTGGAGGTGCAAGCTCCCTCTTCACCGGCCTCAACTTCATTTTTTAGGTAAGTTTCTAAAGCTTGATTGTTTGGCATTATAACAAAGCAGGAGGCAGTCAGAGGAAGCTCGTACATCAGCATTTGTAAGCTTTTACAGAACAGAAAATCTGCTTTCTCACTCCAAATATTGTGCTTCAAAATATCAAAAATGTCTGATGAGTAGAACTTGTAATTTCATTTTTCAAACATATTCATGGGAAAAAGAACCATCTGTGTCTGCTAGGCCTGTGGTAAATAATGCCAGCAATGACATTTCTGATAGTGTTTTGTCTTGTATATGGTCGTCAGTTTAGACTTTAAGACAAACTTGAAACAATTTATGAAAGAAAAGTGTCAAAAAAGAAAAGAACAAGCAAACAGTCAGAGGACATTAGGCCTGCTGTTCATGTCTCAAAGTCTATAAAAGGAACGTCATGGGTGAGCCGGCCAGTGTTGCTATTCCTGGACATGCTGCTGATAAATTGTGACAGATGCAAAGAGGGAGCATGCTGATGCACTTAAACACTCCTGGCTCACCTGGTAGCACACGTTTTCAAATCTGCCAAAAGAAATCTGAACAGTTCCAAAACAAAACCAACACTGGAGGTGGAGACATCTTACATATTTGACAAGAAAATGATTAATATAAATTAGAAATATAATAACATAATATAAAATATAAATACAAAACAGATAGCAATTATTCGCTCATTGATGATACTATGAGGACAACACATCACATTTTAAAACTGTAAAAACTTTATTGTTCATTGAAAAATATAAGCTCATTTTCAGTGTTCACACAGGGTATGGTGAGCTCAGTGCAGTTCATTATGGTCTTGTTAAAATAAGCAAGGTTCTTACCAAAAGACGAGTTGGCTGGATGGCAACATATGTTGCCCTTAAAAGCCTGACTATGTGATTTTCAGGATAAAGGGTGCCACGTGCACCTCCTGAACCCTCATGTCCTCACAGATGCTGGCTCTCGTACCCCACACTGTGACAGTAAGCTAGATTTTCCCTTTTCTTCTTTAGCCCTGGGGACGGAGCACCAATGAGTTCCAAACAGAATTTCAAATCTTTAACAATCAGTTTTTCTGCTTTGCCTCAGTTCATTTTAGCCTCCGTCTTGTCCCTTTTGTGCAGGTATTTCTCTGAGGGTTATCTGAATCTTCCTTAAAGTCTTTGAATGTCTACTATTTGCCCTTATGGTCTTCCACAAAGAGCTGAACACTTTCTTCAGTTGCTCTCTCGGGTGCTCTTTTTTACCCAATTATTTTACCTATTAACTTGGGTAGCTGTGTCTTTTGCTGCCCCTGTCCCCACTGCTTAAAATGAGTTGCTTTCATCAATAAGATAATCCAGAACAATTCATTTCTGTCACAAGTTGCATTTGTCGCACTTTATCTGCAGCTGATGGTTTTATCTAGTTCACTCATAAAACACTTTTTTATCCATTCAAGTTGAAATAGACTAAAAAAGCTAACATTTATGTGCTCGTTTTTCAGAAGGTCCGGGCTGTGTTCTGCTGCTAAAACCATGGCACCCAAAAAGAGCAAGGCAACCAAAAAGAGCAAGGGAGACATAAATGATATGGCCCTGATCGTTGAGAACAGCCCCATCAACAAGATTAACGGGCTGAACACTCTGCTTGAAGGCGGAAATGGCTTTAGCTGCATTTCGACTGAAGTCACTGATTCTGTGTATGCCCCGAACCTCCTTGAAGGTCTGAGCACCATGAGAAACGAAAGCTTCCTCTGTGATCTAACAGTCGCCACCAAATCAAAGTCATTTGATGTGCACAAGGTTGTCATGGCCTCTTGCAGTGAGTACATTAGAAACATCTTGAAGAAGGACTCGACCCTCCAGAAGATAGACCTGAACGACCTCTCACCGGTTGGCCTCGCTACTGCAATTACGTACGCATACTCGGGAAAGCTCACTCTGTCGCTCTACAGCATTGGCAGCACTATTGCTGCAGCCATGCTGCTGCAGATTGGCACCTTAGTGAAGATGTGCAGTGACTTCCTTATGCAGGAGCTCAGTGTGGAGAATTGCATGTACGTAGCCAATATCGCTGATGCCTACGACCTCAAAGAAACCAAGGAAGCGACTCAGAAGTTCATGAGAGAGAACTTCATAGAGTTTTCTGAGATGGAGCAGTTCCTGAAGCTAACCTATGAGCAGATCAGCGAATTTCTGTCAGATGATTCCCTGCAGCTACCTTCTGAAGTTACAGCCTTCCAGATTGCCATGAAATGGCTGGACTTTGATGAGAAGAGGTTAAAGTATGCGGCAGATCTGCTAACTCTCATCAGGTTTGGCACTATCACTCCCCAAGACCTGGTGAATCATGTCCAAGGTGTGCCAAGAATGATGCAGGACCCCGAGTGCCACCGCCTCCTCGTCGATGCTATGAATTACCATCTGCTTCCGTACCAACAGAACATCCTCCAGTCACGCAGAACAAAAGTACGTGGTGGTCTCAAGGTGATTCTCACAGTTGGCGGACGCCCTGCCTTGACAGAGAAATCTCTCAGCAAAGACGTTCTCTACAGAGATTCAGATAATGTGTGGAATAAGCTGACGGAGATGCCAGCAAAGAGCTTCAATCAGTGTGTTGCAGTCCTGGACGGATTCCTGTATGTTGCGGGGGGTGAGGACCAGAATGATGCAAGAAACCAGGCAAAACATGCCGTGAGCAACTTCTGCAGGTAAGAACTAAGACACGTAAGCCCACCATCTGTCATTTTAGTTAATGTATGTATAGCATAAAATAATCCCTTTTGCATTCCTTAGGTATGACTCCCGGTTCAATGCTTGGATTCACTTGAACAACATGATCCAGAGGCGCACCCACTTCAGCCTCAACACATTCAATGGCCTCTTGTTTGCCATCGGAGGGCGAAATGCTGATGGTGTGCAGGCCTCCGTGGAGTGCTACGTGCCTTCCTCCAACCAGTGGCAGATGAAAGCACCCATGGAGGTCCCCCGCTGCTGCCACGCCAGCTCCGTGATCGACGGAAAAATACTCGTATCTGGAGGTTACATTAATAACGCCTACTCCAGGTCTGTGTGCTCTTACGATCCCTCCACTGACACCTGGCAGGATAAGAGCAGTCTGAGCACGCCTCGAGGCTGGCACTGTGCCGCCACTGTGGGAGACCGCGCCTATGTGATCGGCGGAAGCCAGCTAGGAGGGCGTGGGGAGAGGGTGGACGTCCTTGCTGTCGAATCTTACAACCCTCATAGTGGGCAGTGGAGCTACTGCGCACCTCTTCACACGGGGGTGAGCACAGCAGGGATTTCCATTTTGAATAGCAAGATCTATCTCCTCGGTGGCTGGAACGAGGGCGAGAAGAAGTACAAGAAATGCATTCAGGTTTACAACCCTGACCTCAATGAATGGACTGAGGATGATGAGCTGCCAGAAGCCACAGTCGGAATTTCATGCTGTGTCGTCACCATACCGACACGGAAAACACGAGAGTCCAGAGC